GTGTGGTGTCTGACACACCCCCCCGGCCACTCCAGCCTTGCCGTAGGGTGTCCCACACCTCCACCCCAATAGGCTTCTCCTCATCAGATGGAGCAGCCCCCACAGCATCCTGTTGTGTCACCTCAGGCTGACAGAAATCACAGTGACAGCCCTCAGCTGGCCCTGGGAAATGCCACCAGGCTGGGACCCCCCGCCTGGGGGGTACAGGGGCAGTGCCCTCCTCCGACCGGGCACGGGGAGGGGTCCCACGGGGCAGGCAACAGCCGGCACATGGCAAGGCCACACCTTGACACAGGCCCACGTGCCTGCCAACACCCTCCTCGGTCCCAAAGAGCTCAGGGCACGGACAGCCGGGCACCTGCCGGTTCTGGTCCCACTGCCACAAGCCCTAGGGCAAACTCCCGTGTGCCAGGCACCGCCGCGCCAACACCGGCCCAGGGCAAGCCCAGGCTCCCACAGCCCCAAACCCATCGCTGCTCCCCGCACCACTCTGACTCAGGTCCTCCCAGGACCACCAGCCTCCCCTCGGAACAGCTGCCCAGACACACATCTGGGCCAGCGTTTGAAGAAATGCATTAAAATGAAAAAGTTTGCCTTGCCAGCCAGGAAGAGGGAAACCAGACAGCCACTGCCTACACACGGTGTCTGGGCCGTGGCTGGGACGGCTGGCCAGAACTGCACTGAGCCACAGGGAAAGGAGCCGGAGGTGCAGAGGAAGCCCCAAGGAGAGGAGCTCAGCTGCAAACCCGCTGGCCCTTGCCTGCTCCCCTGCACACGAGCTGTTTCCCACTCCGCTGTGCCCCCAGAACCAGAGAACAGAGCGAAGCCCCCATTCATCCGCCACCCCGCCAGGCTGGGAGAGGGGGGACAGAGCTCTGGGCACAGGGGTCCCCCTGCCTGGAGGCTGCTGGCCTTCGTGTGGATCAAAGGGACAGGCAGCTGCAGGCAGGTTCTCCCTGCCACCCTACCTGTAGGCAGGGTGAAAGCCAAAGCTGGAAGGAAAAGCATTGCTCACCCCCACTGCTAGCCAGGGCTCCTGGCTGGGCACCCATCACAGCACCACAGGGAGAACATCAGCCCACGACCAGGAGCCGGGCAGGGGGACTCCTGCCCAGGAGCCCTCAGCTGGGCTGGGCTCCCCTTAATGCAACTGGTGTAACTGGGGCCAGGTGGGCCAGCCAGTACTTAGTGCTGCTAATGGGCAGCACCCGGGGTCAAAGCCCAGCCCAGCCTCTCTCTCCTAGGATGGTTGTCCCCTGCCCGGCACCACGGGGGGGAGGGGGGGGGCTCGCCC